GAATGTATCCATATATGGGAACTGGGAAAGAACATGGCGTTCCCCAGAGACCAATCTTAGCAATAAAGAGTCAATGATGAGGGAGATGTGGCATCAATTGAGAAATGAGATTTGCGATAAAACTAAGAAAACAAAAAATGGTAGTTAAAGGTGAGCAAGGGGAAGAAGGAACCTATATGATTAATGCATTTTCAGATCTTTGAGCAAACCAAAAATCAGTATGTACGTACCCTAATGATGTAAAGAGATGGGCCACAACATGATTCCATACTTAAAATTCACACCCCGCGTTGGATCCTCATCCTAATCTTTCCATACTTTGTATGTAGATATCATCAGTCTCGAAATGTAACGTGCACATATAAAAGAGGCCAGCAAATGATTAAAATCAAGAAATACAAACGATCTGATCACTTGACTAGAAACCAATCAATTCTCAACCTTGTAGCAGTGAATTTACATAAGAAAATAATCTACTTTCAGATGGAGAGTCTATCTCAATGCATCACCAAGAACTGAAGTTAATTATTGTAGGTCAGTACTTAGTAGGTTACAAAATAACCTGCATAGCCAGTGATTTTATTTGGAGCTGAAGTTCATAAGAATGTTCTAGGAAATAATAGATGGTAAAACCACTCACATCAAATTTGAAAGGGGCAGATGAGGGGAAAGTAATGTCCAATTCTCCACGAACAATTCTCATTGGGTGTTCAGTCCTTGCTTTAGAAATAGCAGCAGAGGACACTCTCTCAGCAATAACTGCAACAGGATGCCGCTGCCCAGATGGTGATGATCTAAAATACAGATTCTGCAAGTGGTAAAAACATGCTTTTAAATTTTCAATATCCTGATAAGATACTAAAATAGAGCATAGGCATGCTTTAATTAACTCATCTACTTTCTAACATGATTTGATTGCTTATTTGTTTAATGTTCTCTCGTTAAGAAAACAAAGGCATAGGAGAAAAATAAAAGGAATTTAAAAAAAGAAAAGGGAAAGAAAGACATTACAGCTGGGACTGAAACAAGGTAGGTGACAAGGCCAGGTTGGAGATTATGGGGCCTGAAGTTCTCGCATATATCATCACACACGCATATATATTTGTCGAATGCATGTCAACTACACCCTCGCTCTACTAGCTTATTTGAAACCTGATTTTGGAAGTATCAATCTGAGAAAACAGGGAAAATATGAATCAAAGTCCTTTGGAAAATTAGTGGATAAACAAAATCAGTGGACTACCACTACCTTTGTTTCAGGGGCAATAATCTTAATATGTAGATGGTGATGACCATCACCAGCAGGGTTGGGAAGAACACGGTGTCACTTATGCATAGCGGAAACAAAACAACACCAAAATCTTTATCTATATGAAATTGTTAGGAGCAAGCTAAATTGAGTGCAAATAAAATAATGACAGCAACTAAAATATGCAAAACAGTAAATAAGACTAAGGCAAGATGATTAACACAAGAAACACAATATTTTTATGTGAAAACTCCAAAAATAGGTAAAAATCATTGGACATCCAATCCATTGAAAATAGTTTCACCATAATAGAAAAAAGTATAATATCGCATGAACACTTGGACAAAACTTTAACTCAATTCAACGATAAACTTTTGTGGATCAAACAAAGTTACAAAACTGTGTACGGTACCAAATCTATAGAATTCTCTTATGCTTTCGTTTCCTTCCTGCTGGCTGGCTACACTCACGTGCTCTCCATTTTCTGCTGTCCAAATTAGACTTCTTTCTTCGTCTTAAAGAGCAGCAAATACATGGGGCTTAACATGTGTGGACTTAGTCCACAAATATCGGGCCATTTCTCCACATAGGACGGATGGGCCAAACCCAACAAACAGTAGGCATTCACTCAGCTGAAAAATATCAAAAAGGCTCTAAATTTCAAGAGTTTCAAACATACAACTCGGAAAAAATGTTCATTCCATACACTTGCAAAACCATTTCATGACATTTAAGTTTTCCCAACGAGCTAAATGGTCCTGCAAAAAGCAGAAAATGTTTATCAAGTTACTCCATCCAACACAAAGTCTACTGAGAGGTGGGTTAGTATATTTTAGTTTCCATTAAGTACATGTAAATGAAAACAAGGAGCAAGTACTAACCATCTCCATCTCACCCACTGTCATGCCAGTCCTAGCTGACATTTCTTAAAGATAATTGGCAATTTGTTGTCTCATCATCATCTCCCTCCTGAATACGCAGTTATATTAAAGATGAACATTATAGTTGCAACAGCATCGTAAAAGAAGAAATTATGGAGAATTGCAATTTCTCCATCTGGAAACCCAACAGTTGTTAATAATAGAAAGAAACACATAAACTCAGACTTTTCTTCTTCTTTTTTTGATGATATATGATATTGGGATGAAACATTATCTCCACCCATCATAACCCTTATTTACAGATGCGGAAAAAGTAATAAATATTATTTGCATCTAAATATGAATTAAAGATAATAACATGGGGAAAGGAGCAAGAAAAAGGGGCAAAAAGTAGCAAACTACCGTGTAGGTTGAGAAGAAACTGGAAAATCCTCCTTGTCGAGAACAATAGCATTCGGTTCCTTGAAAAGGAAATTGGAATTCTTCAACTCCTGGAAGATCTTTACAGAGAAGATTGGTTTAGCCTTTGGATCTGGAATTGGAATCTCATCATATTGGAAGGAAAGCTTCCTATGGACGACTTCCTTCTCCTTCTTATGGAAGACGAGCTCCTTCTTCCTCTTGTGGACGGCGGCTTGTGGACGACGACGACGACTTCTCCATGATTATATCTCTGTTAAGCTTAATTATTAAAACTTATAATAACCTTTAAATAAAAATTAATTATTTTTAATAAATAAAAAAGATATATATATAAAATTTTATACAT